AAGGCCCTTAAAAAATTGTGTCTTATCTGACATCGGAACATCGCTAAAGAGATTTATTGCACGCAGAGAGAAATGTGTTAAGTTGTACTCAAACAACGTAGGAAATTCCATTGGTGTTAATAGAGAAAAGAGTGGGTTTACGAATTAGTTAAAAAAAAGAAATATTAGCTGGTCCTATATCTGCCGAAAACATCGAGTGAAAATTCATTCCACTCAGACCACCCAATTTCGAGAACTTTGGGAAGCCGCAATTAAATCTGTTAAATATCATTTTAAGGAAGTTATTGAGAAAGCAAATTTAAGTTATGGAGAGTTTTTTACCGTCGTTTTACAAACTAAAAGAATTTTAAATGAAGATGAAGAGGATTTCATGAAGATGCGAAGGAAGATGATTTCAGAGTTTTAACGCCAAGCTTTCTTAATAAATATTAATTATGCATTAATTCAATTATTGAGTCACATTTGTCTAAGTTAAGAGTTGAAAGATTTAAGGGGCAGATAATAATTAAAATTGTGCAATTTATATAGAAAAAGGGATACCGTAATTATTTAAACGAGCTACACCATTCTAGTAAATATAATTTTTAAAAGAACACTGTTCGTATTGGTGATTTGTTTTGCTGGTTGTGAACAACTTGTGGATCGTCTTATTAATGTATTTTATGGTGAGTATGGAAAGATTCGTCTGGTATCCATAAAATATATGTCTTGAAAATTTGTGTCTTGTCTGTGCCAGAGTAATTTCTATTGGAGTGGATGTTTTAAAATAGTTGTGTATATTTGTAATGTTTCAACTTTTAAACAAGTCTTAGAATAGGTTTTGATATCTTAAAAAGCGTTAAGTCCATGTGTTTTCAATAAGTCCAAAGACGCAAAGACTAATCTTCTGCACCACTTGCTCAATATTTTAACAAATGAGACGACTAGATAGTGATTGTGACAGCGTGTATGAGAACCTTCCTTCGATAATCAGAGGAGGTGATGATAGTTTTCCAGTTTTGTCCCATATAAAAAATACTGATCTATTATCCTTGAAAGTTTTTACTGAAAAGCAATAATGGTAACCTATCTCTGTTTGTTAGGTCTGTTAGGTCAAGTTCCCCATGCAAAGTTTCTCATCTAAAGTATAGTCCCTCATGTAAAGTTTATCCGTAAAATCTCTCACCTAAAGACAAGTCCTAAAAATAAAATAAATGGCGTCAACATTTTTATAAAATAAAGTGCTTCATGTAACGTCCACCATGTAAAAGAGTTTCGAGAAAATGAGGATGCAGAATATGAAACCTACCTTTCCTGAAAAATAAGAGAGATAATACCTTTCACAAAGACTTTCAGAAACTATATTTCCATGTAGTAGAGGAGAAAAATTGGGAAACTGTAATAAGACTATGTGATTGTCAAAGTATAACACAGACCACTATTTGTTTTATAGATTTAAGAATCATTTTGGCGTAACAGCCCCATGATAGTCTAAGATAGTGAGATGGTTTTTACATCAGCAGCAGCAACAATTTGCACCATTATAAAATTGAAAAGCCTTTCATGGCCTCGAAAATTTTATCATCATATCCATATTGTCTTATAGTCACTCAATTTCTTTTACAATCTGGAACAATCGTATGAGGCGTCAACATAATGTTTTCTTCTTCTTCCTTCCGTAGCCCCATAGTAGGCCCCAAAGGCCGTCTGATTATTGGCAAATTTCGAGATAGGAGATGTTTTTATTTACGGAATAGGGTTATCAGACCTACACCCAACACTCCGCTGTCATATTAGACCTGTTTACCTACGGTTTTAAAGTGGATTCGAATCACTACAAACACCCATGTTACAGCCAGTACTCGAATCCGAAGCCTGTGACACTGAGCGTCAGAGCTGAATCACTCAGCTATAAGATCTCTAAGATTAATCTTGGTTATCTTTAATATAGTAATGAAACTTTTAATATAGTAATTCAATATTAGTAATGAAACGTTTCTCGAAATATATTTACACTAGCCAGGGTTTGGTCAATTGAAATCTGCTGTGATTGCTAAAATGATGCATTGCAATATCAAGGCGGGCTGAATCTGTAAGTGCAATGGTTAGTGTACATTAATATATATGTGGGAAAATGGTTTTACGTCACATGGCATTTTAATTCCTGATCGATTCTCAATGATAAAAATGGATTATGCAGCAAAAATGAACAATGACAGCTAACAGTTTCAAAGTATGCCCTTTAGTGTCACCTGCTTAATAGAGCATATCCTGTGTTAGAGATCGTTGTGCCAAGCTAAAATGTCGCAAACAAAGTGCTTTAATCTCAGAAGTATTTTTAAATAATCACATTTAACTCCTTCCTTTCGTTTCTCCTCATCGCAATTCCGTGCCTTTACTCGAAATGAGCGCGTTTTTCTTCAACGCCAGGTTAAAACGGTTAAGAAAGTCAATGATGCTTAGAAAGTGATTCACTGAAGTGAAAAACGTTCAGAACAAAGGTTTAATAATCATTCCGAATCATTCTCAGCATCTCCATTTTATTCACAATTAGCTGGAAGATTTATAAATAGAATTGTTATTCAATTCCTACTATTAGTTCACACACTCGCTATATATATATATATATCTTGTTCACATTTTTAATCATTAATAAAATACTTTTTATTCATCCACTCAAGTTCAAATAACATTTTATTGAACTTGTAATTGAACTTGTATACTTGATACAGTTATTTTTCAAATAATAATTCATTAATTAAATTTAAATTAATTAATTAAAAAATTTTAGATTTAAGTTGCTTGTATCTACCAATAAATGGCGCCAGATATAAAAGGAAAATTTAAACTTTATAACAGACTTTCTGCAATATAGTGAAAAAAAAAATACATTTTTTTGTAGGAATTGACGTAAATTTTTTTTTTATATTACTTTGTTTACTCATATATCTAATAATGTCTCTAGCTTTTATTTAAACTCTGTGTTTTTCTCCAGTGGGATGAAAAGTGAAAAACAAATATGACATTATATCATGCATTAAATCGGAATTGCCTGATAAATAAAACATTAAGCTTTCAAACAAAGGCCGGTTTAAAATCCGATAAGAAATACAAAAGTTCTATACAAAAATTTCTCTTGTCCATACCTGGGATGAATACGATCCTAAGATTGTCTTTCCAATGGGCTTAGAAAAGGGTAAGAGGATCAGAATCCCTTCTCTCAAATGCCTCCACTAGAAGTAATCATTCAAAACTTTGATAATAATGTGGGGTTTCTTGTAGCAGGTCATATTTTGTGCATCATAGGTGCAGCGAATGACCTCTTGATACAGTTAAATTGCAGTCCTCCTAACGATTATTACAACAAGCTTTTACAAAAGACTACAGATTCAATCTGCATTATGGGAGAAGGCTTTCGTTTGATATCTATTGTAAAAAAGGAATAAGATTCATACAACAGTGTAACTTCAACCTTTACTTGCTGAGGATATTAAAATCTAGTCATGATATCTTCTTACTATTTTTTTTATTACAAAAAGCACCTGATTTTACATCATTGGCTCCCCTTCATCACGAATGAGATCGGAGCATAAAGATGGTATGCAAAACAGAAAAAACATAACAAAACAGTAATTCATGACAATAACAATAACAATAATTATATCCAAAACTGTGACTACATGAAGATAAAAGAAAATTAGTCACTGGATGTTAATTGCGTTGACTCTCTAGCCTGCCATTATCTGCTGTATAAGTTTTCTTCATTCAATGAAGAACAACTGGGCAAATGATCTTTGTCCATCTTATTTATCTGGTTGCACAAAGGACTGTTATATATACCAATGCTTCATTTCTTATTGTTCACTGAATATTTCTAAACAAGCTATTTAGAAAACTGTCAGGTCTTAGTCCTGAAAGCGAAGAATATACAAATGCGTTTGAAGTTTACACATCAGCATTGGATTTCAGATTAATATTTTTTTTTACAGATAATTTGATAGTTAGCTTATAGAAAGGCAAGAGACCTTTAATTTGAAAAGGGTTAAAAAAGACAGAAAGGATATCACACAAATACTGAATTCGGGATACCATTTCTCATTGTTAACTGATGTCTGTAATGAAGAAGGAAGATTACTAATATCTTCCTTCTTCATTACAGACATCAGTTAACAATGTTTTTCTAACTTTTTTTTTGTCATCTCACTTCACAAAATGCATTGTAAAAATTTTTAAAAAGTCCCAATAGGAAAAACTATACAAATGTGATGAAAGTATACACTCCAGCATTTTAACTTTAGAACAATATTGATGTGTTCTCTTACCTTTTCTTGACTTAAGAGATTTAGTTTGAATAGCGACCGTAGATATCACCTGATTTGAAAGCATTGTGGAATCACGTTAAACCCTTCTTAAGTTCATTTGGAAGAATATCCATATTCGAAATGGGATCCCTTTCCATAAACATGATTGCTTCCACATAGAGAACGTGATTTGCAAACACTATGTCTTTTCAAGTGGATTAAGGTTACGTTGTTTCATTGTAACTTTACTGAATGAATATTTTATGATACATTTGCAAACGCGTATATAGATAAATTAATATAATTAACTCTCTTTGACACCCACTCTCGCACTCTCTCTATATATATGTGTGTGGGAATATATATATATATATAATCATAATTTTCGTATCTCTTAGCAGTTAAACATTAGTTATGAAGCATAAACTTTATAATGAAATTAAAGGATGTTAGCTTACAAAACAATTGACGTTATTTTCCAATACTTGCTGTAGGAAAACATGGTGGATTCAAAAAGAAAAAAATATTTTGTTGTTGCTTTTCTTAAAATATTAGATGCATTAATTCACGCAAATTATTCTTTCAAGTAATAAATTTTATTTATCTTGTATAAAACTTTGAAAAATGCATACATTTTTATATTCGGATCATATTTACGCATTTGTGTGAGCATATGTGTGCATATGTGTGTATATGTGCATATGTGTGAGCATATGTGTCAACGGCCATACCATGCTGAATATACCGGTTCTCGTTTCGATCACCGAAGTCATATTTCAGTACTATGGGTGGGTGACCACCTGGGAACACCGCGTGCCGTTGGCATTCACACACATTTGGGACCTGAATGGCCGAGTGTCTAGCGCTCGGTGCCACAGGTTTCGGGTTCGATATGTGCCATGGATTTTTGTAGTGGTTCGGAATCCACTTTAAGCTGTAGGTCCCGGTCTCCTATGACTGTAAGAGTGTCACGGAGCCAAAGTCAGACTTCTACCTACGGGGTGCTCCATCACAACAGAAGCTGCTTCCTTGCCCTTCAATCATGAGTACGTTCGTGGGCTTGGCCAGCCAAGTGGGATAAGAAACAACAAACAACAACATATGTGTTATCATATTTACGTATATGTGTGAGCATATATGTATATGTGAGTGCAGTATGCATATGTGTGATCATATATAGCCCATCTGTTTCTGCCGGACACTGACGATGACTCACAACAACAACAAGATTGGTGAAAATATATTTTCGAAGCACCTCAAACCTCAATGATTCTGAATAACATAACATTAATAGCTGTAACAAAACTTATATTTTGTGTTAGGTCCCAACTAGTTAAAACATTTTTAAAGCATATTCTATGTTAAATGTATGTATGTATATTGTGTTTATGTATGTATTAAATAAGTATATTTTTAACCATTAAGAATAATATCTAGTCTACATATAACCCAATCTTATCTAAAAATTTAATACTTGTAAGAATATTATTTTCATTTGTATTTCCTATAAAGTTTTATTAACAAAAGATTACAACTGTTGGGTTTTTATTTGGAGAGAAAGCTGCTTCTGCATCCATCAAGCTTAGCTCAATTTTTTTTTCCAAGGCAAGGTCCTTCGTGACTCATCAAACCACAAGAATGTTGTTTCGGTCATCGACAGTCCGCTCCAGACGTTCGTTGCCCAACAGAATCACTTTTTTTGTTTTTCTAGGAAATCACCACTTTCTGTTTCAGTAGAGAACAAACACAGCATCCGAATTCAGCGCAGTTTGTTTTCCATATAATTCGAATAGAATACACTGCGGAGCTATTAATATCGGTTTATTTTCTTTGCATCCTTTAGTAAAATATCTTTTTTATTTTAATTTTATTTCGTTGAATACATTGGATACATTGCTGTTTAGTAATTCGGACAAATAGGTGAAAAATCTGAGGTCTAACGAAATCTTCTATGTGCTTCACTAATAAGTGACCTTTTTTATTTTAGAGAATAACAATACTAATTAAAAGTTTTACATGCAAAATTATTACATTACAGTTATTACATGCAAAATTTTTTTTATTTGCATGTAATTTTTTTTTTTTAGTTATTAAAAAATGATTTATTTTCTAAAATTTTTAAATTCGGCAAATAAAATCTATTTGCTTTTGCTATAAATATCACAAAAAATTAACTCTATGTATATGTATGTGTTAATAAAATGCAATTTTGTGTAGTTCGTAAGCGAATAAGAAAATGTGTAACTGTGCTTCCTCTTACACGCTGACAAGAGTTCTCCTTCTTTCTGTTCAGAAGAAATGGCTAGTTGGAATCTAGACCCTACCCGAGAGGAAGTACAGCGCAACTATGCTCCTCTGTTGAGAAACGTCTAGTTTGCAGTCTCTCACTCCGAAGAGAAATAAAGTTAGCACATCCTGGCACATTAGTTTGCCTGCAGACTCTCACTCGGGGAGAAAAAGTATATTTCGCGCATCTTCAGTTTATCCGAGTTTAGGGTTTTCGGCTTAGAAGTGGAGTTTTTCCACTAATCTCTAATTATCTGTCTTTCAATGTGTTAAAAATTGTATGTAACTAACTGCGTGTGGTGTTTGTGCGTGAGTAAATAAAGCTATGAGTTCTATAACCCATGCCTCAAGTATGTGGACCTAGCCACACCCATTTACAATCTGGTTGCCCTACCTGCACACTACAAAAGGTAAATGAATGCCGGTTAATGACATCAACTTGATACAATTAGCAATACACTCTTTTTTTCAACGACAGACATGTTAGCGCTCTCAGAGGAACAATATAAAAAATTGGATTTATTTAAATGCAGTGAAATAGAAAATAACTTTTTTCTCTAATACAAGGGTATTTATACTTTCTCTGATCCATCCATGAAATTTGAAATCTGTTAATTACTTTGTAAATGGATGTCTAGCCTTTTTGCTTCTCTGGTTCATAATTGGAGAAAAAAATTCTTGTTTCTGTCCACTGATAAGATATATTCATTTTAGCCGTTCGTTAAGAAAATTACAATAGTTAAGAAAGATAATCAATTTGATACAACGAGAAAGTGTACAAATAAAAAAAGAAATAAGCTTCTGATAATTGTAAATAAATTGGTTAGGCTTGATCGCCGAGAGACTGGCGCTCGATGCAGCAAAGTTCGAGCCTCGGCGGCGCCATGGATGTTTGTAGCGATTTGGAATTCACGTTAAACAGTAGGCCCCGGTCTAATAGGATCGTAGATCGTTAGGCGTACTGCTGAAAATCCGACCACGTAAAAGTATAACATATCCTGCCTCGAAATCTGCCAGCAGGCAGAAGGCATTGGTCCAACGTGGGGCTGTTGTGCCAATGATCATAGTATTAATTGTGTTTGCCACGTGCATAACCACTGAGCAGATTTTTGATTCCGTTATATTAATTTTTTTTAATCAATAGAAAGCTCTAAGAGCTTTAAATACTGAAACAAAACCTTTCTCTAGAAATCGGGAAAAAATTTCATTTTTTATTTATTACAGAATCTAAAAATGTATTAATTAATTAAAAAATAATTTAATTTAAATAATTAGTTTAATTTAAATAATTAAAAATTTTAAAAAATTTAGAATTTCATGAAAAGGGGCCTTGTTTACAGGGCCTGTGGGGGTCTTGCTACTTGTTTTGGACTACTTGTATCCCGTAAAAAATCTTTTATAAGACCCCTTTATTTAAAATAATATTTTAATCATTTATATGCATTTATTTGTATTCTTCACACACAGAAAATAAAAATTATGCTACTGAAGCTTTAACTATATTTAGATGGCAATAACTTGGAGCCCGCGCTTTTTCATAAGACTTCTATTTTTTGTTTAAATTTAAAATATTCAATCAGCGAAAAACTAACGTTTTTAAGACACTGAAAGTTATTTTAAACTAATGTGTTCAAAATTTTATAGCATATTTCTGCTAGAAAAAATGAAGATGAATAAAATTTTCAAATATTATGATGAGCATTTCGCTTTTCTTTCCCATGGATTAACTGATACCAAAATATATACGTTTAATACCTATCGAAGAATACTGTTTCTCATTAATTATAGATCTGATGAAAAAATATTAAGGAAACTTTGGATTCTACATAGTACTGACCTGCTGTAAATGTTTCCTCATATGTGTTTTTCAGAAACATATGAGACACTATATCTTCACAATGTACCATTTTTTAAATTGAAGGGTTTTATTATTGAATTATTAATGGACTGCCAAAAGGACACCCTCATCATATCAGGTTTCCACTTGTCATTGTGCGAAAACAACAGAAGGCACCAGAAAAAAATTGGAGAAGCTATAAACATCTTTTAGTTGCGAAAAATCAAACACGGAAACTTCTGTGAAGATATATCAATGAAAAAAAGGATGAAAAATGTGAAATTGCTTCTTTTGGAATGGATTTACAGATACAAGCATTAACAGTTGCTCATACTAGAACAACAACTACCCAGTTACGTAATGGTAGGACTACCAATTCTGTATTTTAAATATTTTTTTTTAAATGCTTTATATCTGCATCTGTATATAGCTTAATGCCCAATATAGTGAAGCTCTCAAAATAGGGGCCGTTAGAATTTGGCCAGTTTTTGGGACGCCTACTGAGAGATAAGTCTCCAAATGAGGTAACCCGTGTTTCTTGTACTAAACTTCGGTATAAAATCTCAACCCGTTATTTGGCGTACATTGGCGAAACGAGTTTTTGAAGCCAAATACCAAAGTCCACTATTCTGCGATTTTGGCAAGCATATAATATGTTTTATGGAAAATTATTTGAATTGAATTTGGCATCGTTAAAGTACATTATTTCCTACCAGGGATATATATTCTAAAATTTAACTAAATATATATCTATGAAATATAAAATTGTAGAAGAAATTTTGTGGAAACTAAAGTTACTTGTGATGTCAATGGTTATTATGTTGTTTTATATATACATACCTTCTGAATAAGTATTTTAGGACAATTCGATAATGAATAATAATTCATAAGAGAGATTTTTCTATAAGGTAGTGTTTTGATATATGGTCAACTACATATTCTTTTTTAATACATTCAATTTGATAATAATTGTAAGAAAACATAAGAAAGAAAATTTGAAAAGAAAATGTTCAGTGATATATTGATATGTAAATAATTCATTTTAAATTCAAATTATTGCATTTCTTTATTTTTCACTTAAATAGTTCTGTTAGTTTGAAGACGTTATGTGGGGAATTAGATAATAAGTTTAATTTTCGAGAATCCAACTAACAAGTATACAAATAAAAAAAAAAAAATCATTGAAACAAATAAATAAATTTAATCCCAATATCAATTCACATAAAAAGATTTAATTTATAGCTCTCTACTTGTGAAAGTATAGATTATTTACTATAAATTGATGAAGAAAAATAAACTTCATGTATCTTGTAGCGCAACTCAAGTGCTTTTATTTTTACACAAAAAAAATATATCAAATCTGGCAACAATGTTCCATTTGTAACAAAACGGTTCATTTCAAAACAATATACCTGACTATTACTTCTTATAACAATGTAAATATTGTTACAAAACAATGATTGTTATCAACAGCGTTAGTTGATCTTCACATTTGGTTCGTGGCTATTGAAGCGAACTGTGAATTTTTGCGATTGAGATTTTCATATTATTATTTCTGCCAAAAAAACAGGACTTTTGAAATATTTCTGATGGATCGAGAGATGAGTTTTGAGGACGACCTCAAAATGTTTGTTCACATGATGGCTTTCTTCATGGGCGTGAAGATTGTTACGGATTGCTTTGATGTTTCAATTTTTG